TCAGCAGTGCACCCTCGAGGGGAACGCGCCCAGGGTAAGACCAGGCCCCTCTTGGGCTGACACCCAATGAGCTCTAGGGCGGGCTAAGGGGACAGAGGTTCAGGAATGGAGATGCTGCAGACCAAGTGCCCTGCTGGGTGGTGCTGCCCTTTGCTGACTTCACTGGGAAGGTCCTCTCCACACAGCCTGGCAGCTTCAGGACAGAGATGAGGACTGCGGAGTGGTCACCAGGGCCTGACTTTGAGGAAAGTTCTGCTGAGAGTCTCAGGACCAGGGGTGCAGATCCCAGGCCAACGGACAGGGCTGGGGCACCTTCGTGTGGTCTCCAGCCCATTCCCGACATGAGAGGCTGGAGACCGTGAGGGGCAGGGGTGCGAAGGGCATGGGCTGCAGGTCCCAAGGGCTGGGAGCAGGTGTCAGTGGATTGCGGTGGGCTCACAGGCCCCAGACATTCAGGCACACAGGGACCCCCAGGAGGCACACACAGGGTGCAGAGGAGAGTCCAGACACCCTCACAGGGTGAGCAAGATTCTGACGTTTCTAAGCCACCAGGAACTGGCCAGGCTGCATCCAGGTGAACACCTCTCATACTCCACGTTATCTGGAAACAGGCCAGCTTGGGCATGTGAAGGGGTGGAGTGGGGGCCAGAAGGGGCTCATCAACACCCAAGAAAGAGCACACCGTAACTCCTTCCCTCATCCTGTCTACACACAGGGAGGAACACACCATAACCTGTCCCTGTCACACAGCCTCGTCTACACTGACGAAGGAACACGTCACAGCCCCTTCTTGTTATGCGACCCCGTCTACACTCAGGGGAACACATCATTGCCTCTCTCTCATCCAATCCTGTCTACACCTGGGAGGGAACACACCATGGCTCCTCCATCATCTGACCTTGTCTACACCCGTAAGAAACACACTACAACCTTTTCCTGTCATCTGACCCTGTCTACACCCAGGGAAATCCACTGCAGTCATACCATCATCTGACTTGAACTTCGTCCAGGGAAGAACACACATGGAGCCCTGTTTCCCGACCCTGTCTATACCCGGGGAATACACTGCAGTCCCTCTATCATCACCCCATCTACACCCGGGGAGCACATCATGTCTCCTCTGAAACCTCACCCCGTCTACACCCGGGGAGCACATCGTGTCTCCTCCTAAACCTCACCCCGTCTACACCTGGGGAACACCCCACAGCCTCTCCATCACCTCACTCCATCTACACCCAGGGAACACGTCATGTCTCCTCTGAAACCTCACCCTGTCCACTCTCAGGGAACACACCGCGGCCCCTCTTGACACCGGGCTGGCTGCACAGGGGTATCACTGGCCAGCTGCAGTTGGGGCCAGTCATCGGTGGAAGCACACAGGCCGCTCCTGCCCGCTGGGCTAACATCCCCTTGGCTCATCAGTGAGAGGGCGGTGGGGTGTCCCTCAGTAGAATCATGGCCCAGGCACACTTTCTGTCGAGGGGTGCCATGGCCATTCCTACTCCTCATGCCTTGCTGCCCATCTCCACTGTCCCTGTCCCCAAGCAGGCAGGACATTGACCATCTGGCCCTGGAGAGGACAGCCAAGTCTCCACTGGCTCCCAGGCCCACGTCTTTCTCATCCCGAGCTGATCCCCAGGCCCCACGCTGATACGACTCAGAAGCCCAGCAGCAGAGTCTCACCTGGAGCCGACCACGGGCTCACGGGCGTCCCTGGACGTCGAGTAGTCCATGCCGTAGAAGTTAAGTCCCAGCAGGATCTTACTTCGCCACTTGGACTTGGGGTCTAGGATCTGGACACAGGCTCGGACCCAGGACAGAGGGGCATTGGGGCCAGGCCTGCAGGCAAGGGGTTTCAGCAGGAGCTGTGCCCAGATCTCAGGTAGGATGGTTCCCTGTGGGCAACTCCAGCCCCGCCACCCCCAGCGCGCAGGGGCCGCGGTCCGCTCACTGCTGTGCACTGGAGTAGTCATAGGTCATCAGGCTGAAGCCGTCCAGCACCGGCGCCAGCTGCTCCAGCTCCTTGTGCGTGAACATGCCCAGCTGGTGGGTCCTGCAGACACACTGGCCATCACTCAGCAGGCCCTGGTCAGACCTGCCCTGCCCAGTGGACCCCATCATCACCTCCGCAAGTTCAACCCACAGCAGAAAGGCAAGTGGAGTGGAGGGTGGGCCAGTGTAGTCCCGAGCTGTCTGCCCCTCCTGTCCATGGGCGGCTTGGGGAGGTGACAGTCCCAGCAAGGCCATCACACAGTGCCACAGAAGGGTCAGCCAGCTCCTTACTCTGCTCGCCCCAAAGACACACAGGGGCCTACACTCACAGGGAGATGTGTACACAACACACATGCTCACAGGGAGACGTGTACACAACACACACAGGGAGACGTGTACACAACACACACAGGGAGACGTGTACACAACACACACGCTCACAGGGAGACATGTACACAACACGCACATTCACACCATGGACACGCAGGGGCTTACACTCACAGGGAGATGTGTACACAACACACACGCTCACAGGGAGACGTGTACACAACACGCATGCTCACACCAGGGACACGCAGGGGCCTTCACACTCGTGTGTACATACCCACAGATGTGTGCTCACACTCATGGCTGACAACACACACACACGTGCTCACAGACTGTGCCCACGTGGGCATTCACATCCAAATGCATTCATGCATATACACCTACACCTACACACACACATATGACATAGACAGACGTGGTCCTCACCACTCACTACTTCCTCAGGCCCAGTCCTTCCCACCACTTGGAGGTTCCCTGGTCCTCTGCCCAGCACTGGCCTGACCCCAGCTAACACCTGACCACATAGTGGGCTCCTGGATATTACCATGGCAGTATCTGCCTCGGGGGCTGGTCAAGGTCCCTGGAGCAAACCACCTCCCCTCAAGGTACTCACCCTGGTGTGACCGATGGCGGTATGACCAGGATGGCCAGCAGTCGGGCCTGGTGCAGGGCCTCAGCAACATGGGTGAGCATATGGACAAGGCCCCTAGAACACGAGGAGACAGGTCAGGGTGGCCAGCCCTTCCCGCAGCTTCTCACCAGACTTCTGTCCAAGAAAGGTTCAGAAGCCAGGTGGTGAGTGGGGTCCAAGGTCAGGGTGGCTATGGATGTCTGAGGGATGATAGGTGTGGGGTTGGAGGCTGGGGCGAGCATGCGGTCTGAGGTGAGGGCGGGTGTGGGGTCCGAGGTCAGGAACGGTGAGCATAGGGTCTGAGGCAGGGAAGGTGTGGGGTGTAAGGTCAAGAACGGTGATCACAGAGTCTGAGGGAGGGCGGGTGTGGGGCCCAAGGTCAGGAATGGTGCGCACGGAGTCTGAGGCTCAGGGGAGCATGGAAGTTTGAGGCCAGAGCAGTGTAGGGGGTCTGAGGCTACTCTTGAGCCTGGCAGAAGCACGTGTGACCATACTGCCTTGTTCACATCAGGCAGGTGCAGGACTCGCCTTAGGGTCTCTGCAGGTCACAGAAGCCTCTTCTCTCCTCTCCTAGTGTGGAGGGAGCCCCAGCACTAGCTGGCGGAGGGGGGGGGCAGGGAGCATCTGCCTCTGGGCAGGAGGTCACGCCCCCTCGTCACTCTGACGTGGGGAGTGGGCAGCAAAGTCCCAGCCTCCTCTGTCCAAGATGCCCAGTGAAAGGCGGGCCCAGTGTCAACACTGCCCCCATAAGGACAGGGCTGGGACGTGCCACAGGTCCTGGGCAGAACTGCAGGGAGGACGAGCCGCAGGGTGGGAGCCCAGGAGTCAGGTCAGTCCAGCCCGCCCCTCAAGGCCAGCAGAGCGGGAGGCTCCAGCTTCGGAAGAAGGCTGAAAGGCGGGTGCAGCGGGCTCCAGAACTGCATCCAGAACACGTTCTCAGAGGGCCTGGGCGTCTGTGGGCCCGGGGAGCAAGGGGCCCAGTGTGTGAGGTG